AAAGAAAAAATAAAAGTCCATGCAACAATTGCAATGATTGACAAAAATGTTGTCTGGTCTTTAGCATATTCCTTAGTGCCTTTTTTTTTTTTTTTTTTTTTTTTTTTTTTTTTTCCCCCCCCCCTGATCGAAAGTGCTACCAACTGTCTGAAATTCTCTTCAGCTTCAGTCCAGTTGTTTGCTTCCAGTCTCCGGTTCCCATGTGTTCCTGGTATGACTGGTCAGAGTCGAGGTACTCATTCTGAGAGCCACCCAGATGGAAATCTAAGGAAAGTGGTGGTAGGCAGGTCTCAGTAAATAGCCCTTGTCTTTAAAATTTTCTTCCTCTCCATGCCTGCCAGAACCAGCACTGTTAGAACCTCAGGGCATGGCACCATCCTGAGCATTTATCTGAGGAGCTAACTGTAGTTAGGGATGCTGTTTTGAAGTGGCACATCCTTTCTTTTGCTGTAATTAAAAGGGGATTAAATTATCTTATGTTCCTGAGAAGCACACTTAGTCATACTTATGTATGGAAATAAACCTCTAACTACCTGGTGTTTTCTTCCAAGTTCCCCTGGAAATAAACATGCTGCTTGGAGTGAGAAAAGAGTGGGAGAGAGGTTAAACTGTCAGTAGATAAATGAACTTGTTAGATGGTGCCAAAGGCAGGGCATGCCTAACACCCGGGGGTAAATTCACAGGAATATGGCTCAGACAAATCCTGTGCTGTCCACGCTACCACAGCTGCCGTGTTGAGGGGGCTGGTGCAGCTTGTCTGGGTTGAATTTCAGTGCCCAAAGAGCTGCTAGGTCTAGATCAGTTCTGTACTTAGAAATGAACACTGTTTTGGAAGAAATGTGTAAGTAGGATGATTTTCTATCTCCAGTGTCTGGAACAGGCACAGAAATATATCACTTTTGAGGAGTATAGTGTCTTAATTTCATGTATTATATGTATTGTCTTTTTTTTTTTCTTGTTATTTTTGCTCTTTTATAATTATATGTGAATCAGGAGTAAACTACCTGCTTTAAAATATTGCTAAGCCTAATTTTAGTCTCTCTATATTTTGGGGACAGGTCAGTGTTGAAATTTTCTGTGAATTTGAGAAAGTGCTGTGTTCACACCTTGCAATATGGACTAGGAAGCAATGGATCAAGTGGTTTGCCCTGGATGCAGTGATAGTCAAGTGAAACTTCTTTATTTGTTATACATGTGAATTTCTGTGGAACTCCTGGTGCTGTATATCGCTGTTGTTTACTCATGCTGTTTAATTGGTATAATAGTCTATTGGATCTGTGCTTTGATTGAAAGCCTGGGTTAGGCACTTGGGCTCTGCCAAGAGGAAGCTGCGTTACAAAGAGGGAGAAAAGCTGTGGGAAGGACTTGTGAAGCAGAGATACGTGGCTTTGGTGGGGGGATATGCTACTGGATCTCATTTTGAGATCCACCCTACTTCCCTCCTTCCTATGTACCTCGTGAGGACAGAGGCAGGAAGAGGGAGCCAGAATCGTTGCTGTGTCTGTCGCTTGGGAATCTGCCCGTAGGAAAGAAATTGTGCAAGTAGCTCATGCTCTTTCACAGCAGCCAGTTCTTTTAGCTGGGCTGTCCTTGCTCAGCCCAGTGAGGAAGTAACGGAGGGAGGGGAGGAAGTAAATGCCTCTGCAGGAATAGGTGTAATGGAAAGATATAAGCTATCTCTTAAGATTACTCCAATAAAATAAGCCCTCTGCTCAAAGGCCTAAAGTAAGGGTTTCTGCCTAGCTGAGATAATTTTGTGTGTGCAGAGGTTAATGCAAATCTAGTTTCCATGTGTCTGGAATTGACCAAAATTCTGTAAGAAACATACAGTTGGTGCTAGTAAGGTTGGCAGCTCTCCAAAGTGGTAGACTGCCCGTACAGAACTGATTGCACTGTAAAGTCAGCTCCTTTGAATGATCTACACTATCAGTACAGCTGATGGAAAGGTTGTACATCCAGAAACTATAAAGAACGAAATTAGCTGACAGATTTTTCCTTCAGTTTGCCCCCTCCATCTCCATCCCTGAAAGGCCGTAGCCTGGTCTGCCTTAGGCGCTGGATGAATCCTTTCAGCTTTTTCAGTTGCAGAATCTGGAAGAGGCTCCCGATGACTTTCTTAGAGTAGATCTACCTGGATGTTTCATAGAGTTGTGTGCAGGAGACCTTTGTTTGACGTTTGAGGCAAGAAATGGTTGCAGTAACAGACCTGGCTTCCTGCAGGGTACCTGTGTGGTACAGCTGTGTGGTACCTGCAGTGTGATCCGGCTGCAGCTCATTTTCCAGTTGTGGAAGGGATAGGAAAGGACACACTTGATGTGTGCGTAGCCATGTATAGGGACACCTTTCCTAGCAGCAGCAGAAGTATCAGTGTTCCATGCTATTTATGTTTTCGTGTGTGTTAATAAAGAAACCTCTGTCAGCAATGTTTGGAAGAGACTGCAAGTGGTCATAAGAGTGGGAAAGTTTGGCCTGCCAAATAAACACATTTTTGCCAGGCATGCAGATGGATCATGGGTACAGACTGTCTCCATGAGTCACATCTGTTTGTGATATTGCCTGGCTGCATTGCAGCATTTTTTTTCTATGTATATTTATTTGAGTGTAGAATATCTGTATGTTGTATATGGAAAATACTAATTATTATGTTAAATGTATAATAAAATGTAGAAAAAGTTTTGCTAGTGTAGGAAAGGAGCTGATCTGATGCAATGAGAGGTTCTTCCTGGTAGTTCCCCTCTCCTGTAAACTCCGTTCCGTTTCCAGGATGCCTTTGTAGATCTGGTTTCAGTGTATTTCCATTAGAAGATGAAGGTGTTAAGTAACCACAATTCTGCAACAAATGAAAGCTGTGCTAAATGGAAACTTACCTAAATACTCAGGTTACAGTGTAGTGTTATGAAATAGTAGCTTTTCATCCCACACTCATTAATTACCCTCTCCTTTTTTTTTTTTTTTTTTTNTTTTTTTTTTTTTTTTTTTCCTTCTTATTTTTCTGTCCCCTGCCTTACAAGCCAAGAACTTTGGAATTTCCCTCTCCTACCTGTACATCAGGCAGTATATATGCCCATGCGATATATATGCCCATGGCTATATTATTTATTTATTTATTTATTTATTTATTTATTTATTTATTTATTTATTTATTAAGAGTAGGCTTATGAAAACAGAAATGCTGCTGCAAAATGTAGTCTTTGCTTCATGCAGTTGGTGCAAGTGTAAAAGCTGGCTGGCTCTGCACTCCGGCAGCATTAGGAATCCATGGGTTCGGTGCTAGTTTGAGCTGTAGCCAGAAGTGCACGTGAAATTAAATTCTGCTTTGCTCTCCTGCCCCCAGCTGCTCTCAGCTAAGTGCAGATTGGAGCAGCCTATGGACTGGTTTGAATTATTTTAAGGACTTGCCATATTTGTGTCTCTCCTCAAAAGCCATCCACAGTTATCACTTAACTGATAGCATGGCATATTCATGTCTGACATAAGAAGAGCACAAAAGTAAATAATAATAGAAGCAGTAGCAGTTCTGTCCTATATGTAAATAACAATGTAAAAACCAAAGGGAAGCAGGAGAAAATTCTTAGGAATTACAACAGTTGAGGCTGATAAAGCGAGATGCCTCCTGATTTCTGTGAGGGTGCCAGGCATGTTTGCTCTACATGCTGGTCTTCTCATGACGTTACCTCTATCCTTTCAGGAGCAGTCCCCTTTGAGGAAGATATTGTGTGTCTCAAGCCACCTTTTACTGCTTTTGTCTGAGATCAGTAGACCCGCTTGTACCTAAGAGGTAGGGTTCACAGGCAGGATTCGCGTGTGGAGCAATGAGGAAGGTGCCTTCGGGGCAGGCGGTCGGAGGCCTGAGGCTGTGAGGGGCCTGCAGGAGCCTTGGCGCTGTCGAGTGGACGTGTGGCCTGGCAACATGGGTGCCAGTGGGGACTGTGATGCTGGTGGTTTGGATGGTGAAGCTCTGAAGTAGCTGTTGTTGTTTTCAAGTGCAGTAACAAATTCTCCAGTACCTTTGCACAAAGACTCATGGTGTTTCATGGATGCAGGGAGGAGCCGAACGCATCTGAGAGCAGTCACGGCTTAACTGCATTTTTCAGTCGTGGAAATTTCTGTAATATTGTGTTGTGCTTTGATATCCATTTAATTTTTATTGATTTATTTATTTTCACCAAACTTATTTTTGGATCCAGCAGGGTCAGGGCTCTGAGAGCTGTTTTAAGGCTTTCAGAGGCAGGCCAGGCATCCTTTGGAAGCATGGCAATCTGTGATACTCTCCTCAAGTGTTTTCCAGAAAACACCGATTCGGCCAGATGTTGGGAGACAATTCTCTTATTTAGGATAACCATGGTAACCAGGAACCCTGGTGGAGCAAGCTGTCCTTCTCCTGGAGGAAATGCAACTTCGTCTAAATTTCCTTCTGCAGACATGTCAGACGTTTGTTATTGTTTGCTACTTCTCAGATCCCTTTCCTGTTCTTTTTTGAAGCTATTGTACAATAGATTTTTCTTGGCTTGTTGCTTTCTATTTATTTTAAAAAACATGGACAGATATCTGGGAACTAGTGTTCTTTGAAATGAGCACAGTCAGTTTTAGAATGCTATCTGTTCTTTTGTTTGGTAAACCAAATCCAAATCTTTAGAATTCTTTTTTTTTTCCCACACAAAATTCTGATGTTTTTAAAGCAAAAAAATGCTTTTGTGAAAAAACAAAATTCTCATGTTCACTTTCAGTTAGAGTTCAGATATTTTTACATGGTTGGGATGGAAGAAATTATGTAAAAGACATGCTATTTAAATTAAATGTTTTAAATGATCATTGCCTGTGCAGTCAAAAGGTGTTTCCTGAATGCAAGTAGAAAATAGCAGATTTATTGTTAAACCTCAGATCCTGCTTAATATGGAGTTGAAAAGATTATAATAAACTTGCATTTGAAATACATGTTAATAGGCTTTTTGGAGATGAGACAATTACTCCATGTTTATGAAGGTGTGTTCATTTTTCAGGGGCAAGTGGCTATAAATGCAACATTTGGCAAAGACATTTACCTCCCCGAAGATGCCGAGTTTTACTTTGTTTACAACGGATCTGTGCAGAGACACATAATGTTTGCCGAGCGAGTTAGCGATAATGCTCTTCAGTCCATTGTTCCAGGTGAGACTTTTTCTTGTTCACACTTCCTTTCTCTTTGCTGTACTCCACCCCCATTTTGAAGCTGGGCAAAACTGCATTATTTGATATAACGCTGCTTTGTGGATTAATCATAGAAGAAATACAGGAATGGAAAGATGACCTTTGGTATCAGCTTTACTGACCAGAGTTGGCCCTGCCTCTTAGAGCAAACTGCATCATTTTCCAGAGCAGTTGAGGCTCTGCAGTGCTACAGGAAGGGCTTTCCTGTGCTTGCACAGCTGGGTGTGCACTAACATGCAATCTTTAGGCATGGCATCATTTTTAATCTGGATGAATCTTATTCAACAAAGCCAGCCTTTGCCACCCTGGCTTGCCTGCAGGCATCCTCACACCTGCAAAGGTTGAGATTTTGTCTGGGCCACCCCTGCATGCGCCGGTGAGCCGGGCTTGCAGGGAGGGCATGAGGTGCTTGGAGCTCTGCTGAAGCCGTTTGTGCTGAGAAGAACCGTATCTGGGTGCCTCACACTACGGAGAATTTGTGTTGTCTCATGACAGCTTGCCTTGACATTTTCCCCTTTGTTGAGGAAATAAAAGCCCTGGTGCCATTCTCTATCATGTTCTTTGTGACCTTTTTATGTGACCTTTTTGTGAGAGTAGCTGGTGTAAACATGATGTACCTTTGGAGTAGGTTCTGCTTGTTATTTGTCCTTGTTTTCTAGAGGAGGTTGAGTCTGAAAATAACTGCTGAACACGAAAGGGATAATTCTGTGCTGTTCCATGGTTATTCCTTTAATTCTTTACATTGTAAAAGATTTTCATGGAATAGAATTAGAGAAAATGTGAGACTTATTCCAGGATAGCAAAGTCATTTCTTTGAAGAGTCCTGCAATGACACTGTTAAACAATTACATATGGACTAAGCTACAGGCGACACGCAACCAGTGTGAACGAGTGCTCAACAGAACCATTAAGAGATGAAAACAGAGACTGAAGCTAAAATATACCCTTGTGGGGTTACTGTTGTTCTGTAGTAGCCAAACTAAACATAAAGGTATGCAGAGCACTTTAAAGACAACTGTAGATCTAGTAAATGAATATTTGCTTTTGAAATGATTAGATTGCATAAATATACTTGTAGTTATTTGGAACTTTTGGGGAAATTTAGAATTGCACCCTTAATACTTCATGTTTAGCTCTCTAGTGAGATTTGTGGGCATAGCTTGCACCTCTTTAGATGTATGATATCTCATTTAGATGATGGAGGAGGAGGAGGGATGCTAGAGAGATTTTGTTGGCAAACTGCCTTGAAATTCTTAGAAGATCCTAACTGTACATTATACAGTTGATATGATATATAACCTAGTGTGCCAAAAGCATGAAGTTTTCTGAATTCTGGCCTACAAGGAGACAATACGGGTTTCAATAAAAAATGAATTCCTTGGAATTCCTATGCCAGGCCACTCTGCCAGTTCTTTCTTGGGTGTCTCATTTTTCTTGATTCTTACCCAAGAAACTCTTGTGATGGAGAATGGCAGAAACTGTGTACTGATCCCACCAAAGTGGAAGAGACGGCTGGACTATTTGTTGTGTGTGCTTTACACTCAGTAATTTGTTTTCAAAGCATGGTACTGGCCTACCATGAATACCCAGGTTCCTAGGTGTATACTAAGGTGTAGGGAGATGCACAGTGGTTGTGCATGGCCCTCAGGACTGTGGGCTGGAGTCATTTCAGTGGTGCTACATCTTTGGGGGTGGTTGCTCAGTGAGCAGTTTGTTCCTTTTCTCTCCTCAAGCTTGTAGTGCTTGAAGGGGATGGGGCAAATTTCCATCTCTTTAGATAGAAATTACTGTGGTTGCTAAAAGACTCTGATGTGCTTTGTGTTTCTGCTCTGTGGCATTTCATCCTGATGTGGTTACCTGTTTTCTCTGTTGTGGTTCAAGAACCTTCATCTAGAAAGGCTGGTTTTACTATCAGCTATGTTGGTATAATTGGGAGGTTTGTGAGTTCAGAGTCTAGTCAAAAACAAGTTAATTACCAGAAATACCTGGTGGATGCCCTACAAGCGATAGATTTTGTTAGATGAGAGAATAAGTAATTCTGTGTGCATATTCCTTTCTTAAAGGGGGGAATAATGAGGAAAACTGAATGCAGTTTCTAAACATAGCTAATTTTAATGATTAACTTGGATTGTAATTTCAGGCCATGGATGCCAAGAAGCCGTTTCTGTCTCTGTGCTGATGTATACAAAGGGATACTCATCTGTGGTCCTTGGCACCTCTCCTGTCACTTACAGGGAGAATCTGTCTTGCAAGTTATCTCGGTTTCTGGTTAATCACGTAGCTTGTGTCACTGCTGCTAGTCACAAGACTTTGCTTGATAAGTTTCAACTAAGGATAAAAGATCTGCAGTCCCTGGATAATGACGTGATGATGGCCATTGCTCATGAGGAATTGCCATCAACGTGGAACATCCTTGGAAACTACTCAGAAAGTGGTAAGATTTTATTTTAAGTTGGAAAACTTTTAATGGTGATTTGTTGTATAGAGCAGGAGAAAGCATCTCACTGTTCTATTGAAGTTTCTTGATCCTTATGCTTTGTTCTGAGGTTATGATGGAAAATTGTTGAAGAATGAAGGGAAATCAGAGATTCGTTTTGTGCCCAGAGGCTGAGCAAGGATTAATAACTGCTGTTGTCATTCTGTCTCTCCAGAAGCTTTTTATGCTTTGACTTACTGTGATTTGGTTTCTTTTTATAGATTGGCTCTGCCTTTAAAGGTTTAAAGGGCTATCTGTTTTTACAGGGAGAAAAAAAAAAGGTAGGATTATAGTAGTGGAGTGTCTCCATCATGATTTCAGTCAAGTGAAATATTTAAAAAGTTAAGCAAACAAAAAGGAGACAATATATCACTGTAGGCCTTCTAATGTACAGAATAAATATGTTGTTTACCACACTGTTTATGCTTTATTTAGTTTTTAAAATCATCCTTAGGGGAAAGCATCATTAAACAAGTTTTGTGGCTTTTTTTTTTTTTAAGAGGAAGTGGAATGAAAAAATATACATGATACTTTACATTACAGCTTGTTACTAAAACGTGTAACAAAATCAGGTGAAATTTGCCAGGTTTCAAGTTTCATTGCAAACACAAAACTATAGTTAGGTTTTGCTGAAGAGCACAACATTTTTGCAGACCCATCTGATTTATAGCTGAGGTTGGAAACACAGTTAAATTTGATGGCTTCACATGTTTTTCATTGAAAATTTGGTATTTTTGGCTGTTTTCCTTTCAGTACTTTAAACTGCTAAGAATCAGAGGGCAGGCAGCTTCCATTTGAGCCAAATTAAAAGAGAGAGCAAATGGTAGGGAACTAAAAACACAACACAGCTCATTTCTTTGAGTGAGGTTTTTCTCTTCTTAAATCTTTCTAATTCTTAATGATAGATAGCTTGGAATCTGCTACTGCCTTCATCAGGAGAAGGATTTTCTTTCTTTTTTTCTTTTTAAGGTTCTTGTAAACAGCTCTTTTAAGAGATGGAAAAGACATCCTCACCAAGTTGCATTCAAATATTGGCTGGGTACTGAAAATAAAATATAGCCTTCTTTCATTTTGGTGCATAGTAAATATTTGTTGGCATTACTCAACTGCTGGAACAACTGGTGGATTTTAGCAATGAAGAGCTTGATTCAAAGGCCAAAGAAATTGGTAGTGTTTTTTTTCACAGACTTTGCTAAGTTTTCCATCAAAACCAGCTGAAACCTAACTCAGAAGTATCTGCTGAGTATCAGAATTATATTGGTGCTTGGGCAAAGTTGGCACCTGCCTGCATGCAACCTGGAAGTTCTGGCTCCAGAGCAGCTTGCTACACCAGGCAGAGCTCTGTTGGGGCAGCTACCACCCAGATACCAAGATTCTTTAATTTTTAATTATGCCAGTTGTTAATTTTGAAGCATAGTGTAGTGTTCATACTGAAAAAAAGTATGTTGTCCTCATGAGACATGCAGAGTGCAGCAGAGAAGCAGGGGTCTGTGCTCCAGTGAGTGCCTGGAGTCTCTGTGAGCGTAAGGGATGTGCGAGCTGAGCATGCTGCGTTCCCAGGTGCTTGCAGGAGCATGGTTATGTCGGGGGTTTCCTGTGTAATTGCCTGATTCTGTTTTAGCCAGTTGTTGATCCTCAGCTTTTTGGTTGTCCTGAAAGGTTAAGTGGAAATCCTGTCGTGTGCAGATCAGCTCCCTCATGAGGAAGGATCCCCTATGTGATACAGCAGCGTGCTGTGTTCATGGGCCTTGCTGGGTGCAGCTCAGGTGTCCGACTGTCTTCAGGATGGCACTTGTCCATACATGAGATCATGTCTCGGTTTATACAGCAGTGGTTGCTCCTAGTTTAAGCTGGGATCATTTCTCTTGTTTCTGGATAAAGCAAAACAACCCCAAACCTAAAATAAATTCCTTGAGCCTGGTTTCAATGCTTTTGCTTAACGAGGAGCTCTTGGTGGGCAGGTAGCCCATGCGGGCCTGCCCACGTAGCTTGTGTTACGCACAAGGTGCTTGACGCCATCCTTTCTCTGGAGGGGAGCAGGCCTGTTAGTAGCATGATGATATACTTGGTAGGTCGGGCATCCCCATCGGACAGGAAAGCAAATACCAGTTTCTCCTGTTGAGTAGGTGGTCCCAGAAGCTTTGTGAGCAGCTACTCCAGTGGCACAGGGGCCATCAGCTGTGCCCTCTCTCCAAGGCCCAGCACAGTGCTGGGGGGCTGAAGTTGCAGCCTTTGCCTCCGGGTCTGCTTTGATGCAGTGAGCACAGTGAGAGCATTGCTGCGGGCTGCACTGGGCTGCAGAGGACACTGAGGTTGAACCAGGACAAAATGGATCCTGGCCTCCCCCAGCTGAGCGAGTTTGCTCTATCTCCATTAGTGTAGCTCTGCCAGAATAAACCTTCCAGATCCAGGAGAGTCTTAACTCTTAGCCTTTTGGAGCATTTGTCTGTTCTTTTAGTGTATCTGCTGCGAAAGAGCCTGCATGGCTCAAATACAGGGTTATGGCCCTATGCATGCCTGCAGAAATAAGGAAAGGCTTCTGTCTCAAGGAATGGAGAGTCAGATTAGCAGGAGAGCTGCCTCAGCAACTGGGTGCTGCTGAGGTGAATTCAGTGGTTGAGTTCACAAATGCCCAAATAGTTCTTTTTTGATGCCTCACTCCCCTGCAGCTCCTGATCTGTTTTGGTCACCTCTCCCTTGTTGTATAATTTCTCTTTACCTGTATCCTGTGCACATTCAGAGCTGGAACATGGAGTCTGAAACTACAACTTTTAATCACTTTTAGAGCCATTTTGTTCTTTTACCTGAGCCTGCGAAACATTGACTGAGCCTCTTTCCCCTTCCTATCCTCACCCAGAGTTATTTATTCCCCGAGCAAAGCTACAAGTTGTGTGTGGTTGAGGAAGCGCTGGGCGTGAAAGGAAGGAAAGGGAAAAAGACTGGGACAACTAGGGTAGGGAAGGCTGTAGGTCCCAGAGCAGAAAAGAGGAGGAGGAGGCTCTTTGTCTTTCATCTATGAGGTGATCCAGGGCTGTGTCCCAGCACCACCGTGCCTCCCCTTGAAAGGTTAAACTGAATGAGAAGTAGATTTGTGAGCATCTAGGAAGGCAGGGGGGACCTTTTCCTACTTGCTGTCTCTGCAGCTCCTTGACCAACAGGTCTGGTAGCCTCTTGGTGCTCAGGAGGATCAGGATGTTCTTTTTAGTATCATTACTGGAAAAGTTTTGGATGCTATCAGCCCTCCCTATCTAGGACCTCAAACTTGTGAGACTAAGGAGCTGTTAATTCTTTCAGCTTTCAGAGCTCTTGGGCTATTTTTATAAGAAAAAAAAATCTTTCTTTTGAGTGACAGTGCTAGAGAAAATTATTAGACCATCTGGTGTTTTTGGACTTTATTCATTTTTATGAGGATTTAGAGGCATATGGGTAGATGGAAAGATAGAAGAATAATTTATTCATAGGAATTGTGGTATTTGGAAAAAGTGTTTGTATTCCCTTTATAAGGTATAAAAAGGATTGGACAGAGAGGCTCGATTGTCTAGGGAACATTGCAAATAATTCAGGAATTTAGAGCAGTTGCACAGGTCAGGACTTGCTAGACACATTATTTAAGTTCAACAAAGGAAACAAGAAAGCACGGACCTTTCGGTAATCCTCACTTAGACTAAGTGCCTGTTTGACAAGCCTGTCACAAGCTGCCTGCTCACAAAGACTGACTGGATGCTCTGCTCACCTGGCCCGCGACCAGTTTCCTGCCAGAGCAAAAGGCGGCTGCGGGAGGACCTGACAGGGATGTCCTTATGCTCAGGGATTTAGCTGGTAGTGGATTTGAGGGCAGAGAAAGTGTAGGAAGGAGCTGGATGGAAAAGCTGCTTGTTTGCTAATTATATCTTTATCAAGGATATTTTTATTCTGAAAATGGGATTATTTGATTTAACAGGCTAATCATTAGTAAATATTATGTTGTATAGCTTGCTATAGCTGATCAGGAAAAAAAAAAGAGTTTTCCCACACTTTTCTGCTTACAAAAAAATTACTTCCTGTCATAGGATTTTTTTAACCCCTGCTTCTCTTGAACAAAATGTAGACTAAATTTCTTTGTAGAAATGAATGTAGTAATCTCTCCAGCTGTGATACCTTATCCTACTTATGAAAACAAAGATGGCATGTGGATGAGAAAAATGCCTCAAGGTAACCTTCAAAAATGCATCCTTTCCTCTTTCAACAGGATCATGCTAGGGCTATCTCTCGACATTGGCAGTTGTCAAGGCAGCTGTGCCAGCCCGGGCTTTCCTTGTCCAAGTTGGTGACGAAGGTGGGGGTGGGAGCTCAGCATGCGCTGGGAAGTGCCTGCCTTGGACAGAGGCCGGGTCACCCTGGACATGAGGGAAGCCGCTTCCTGGCGTTCCTGCTGCTCCCTCAGGCCTGGGGCTGCTGCTCCTCCTTTCTGAAGGCGCTCCCGGCACCTTCACCATCTGATACCTGTTTGTGCTTTTAGCCACAAGCTCTGGAGCTCTAGGATACAGGGCTTTGGGAGAACGTCATGAGATCTACCTGTATATTGTTATTGTCCAAAAAGACAGATTCAGCATCTTCACTACAACTCATGTCTGTGGCATGCACTGAAGCTGAACTCCCTGGACTCCTGTCTAGGAGGACAGTGGTCTCGGTAAGGGCTCTGCGCTGCATGTGCACAGCTGAGCTTGCTTCAGTTTCTGGTTGTTATAAGGGCATTGCTGTGAGGCTGAGTTCAGGTTGTCTGGGTGACTTAACTGTGCTGTTAATTAAACAAGAACATTTGCTGCTGGCTTTGTCAGCATTTACAGTTATTTTCCAGAGGAAGAGAGCCCTTTCAGATTTAGGGCTATTAGTAGCAATAAAATTACATCCTAGATTATGAGAATTGATTGTGGATCATAGGAAAGGGAGCAGTGTCCATAGTTAATTCTCTTTCATGC